GCCGTAGTCCACGCTGGAGACGGGCATCTGCCGGGGCAGGTGGCGCTTGAAGGACGTGTGCCTGGCGGAGGGCGGAGGGGCAGAGGGCGACGTCAGGCCGGGGGGAGGCGGGGCGAGGAGGATGCAGGCAGATACCCCTCGGCCGCCCTGGCCCATCCTACCCCTTGTGGGGCCCCCTTTTCCTCCCATTTGTTACCCGCTCTCTCTCTGCACACACTTTGTGGGCAGCTCGTCATGCGCATTTCATGTCTTAATATGTGCGAAGTGGTCGGTTGGGGTAGGGCCTGGTACATAGTAAGCTCAATAAATGTTAGCCATAGCTGCTGTTATCACTTCCCCTGCCTTTCCACCCGCTTTCTAGGTTTCCTTCCCAGTAGACACGGCCCTGCTTTCCCCATTAAGCCATGAGATTCCCTAGGAGATGGACCATACCTTCTTACCTAGATATGGCTCCCCCTCCTCATCATCTACCACCAGGACCACCGTCCCATAGTTACTGGTCACTGGACTTTGCAGCCCGGACTGCATAGGTTAATTTTGGCTCTGCCACTGTCTGGCTATGTGACCTTGGGCAAGTTACTTAACCTCTCCGCTATAAAATGAGAATAATGAACGTAGCAATTGCATAGGATTGCTGTGAGGATGAAATGAATCCATATGAATAAAGTACTTAGAGTAGGCTCAGGTGTATTATAAGCCATGGGTCCCTAACCCCCAGGCCACAGACGTCGGACGAGTACCGGTCAGTGGCCTGTTAGGAACTGAGCTGCACAGCAGGAGGTGAGCACCGGGTGAGCGAGCGAAGCTTCGTCTGTATTTGCAGCCGCTCCCCAGCGCTAGCATCACCGCCTCAGCTCCGCCTCAGATCGTCAGGCATCAGATTCTCATAGGAGCACCGGTCCCTGATGCCAAAAAGGTTGGGGACGGCTATTATAAGCGACGTATTATTAGCTCTCATTATCACATGGATTCTTTCGTAGGCTCCTCACAGCAACCTTATGCATCATTAGCCCTATTTTACAGTTGGGAAAAGCGAGGCTTAGAAACTGTGAGCAGCTTGTCTGAGCTCGTACCATAAATGCTGCAAATGTGATCCTGGCACTTTCATTCCTGGCCTCCAGCTCAGGACCAGGACCCCTTCCCCACAGCTCGTCCCCCGGGAGCCCAGGGAGATGCTGCAGGGACCCAGGAACCCACAAGAGCCCTAACTTTTGAATAAACACAATGCCTCATGCGTGCATGCATCATTCCTTTTAAAAATGTTTCTGAATTTAGAGTAGCTTTTTGTCCTTACGTGGCGGTGGTTATTTTTGTTTGTTTCAGTTAAAGAATGCCATGGGTATACCTGCTGCCGTGCAGGGGACTCGGCCAGTTGTAAAGAAATCCTCATTCTCGAAATGTGAGGAATGTCTTGCCTTATCGCTCGTGCACCGCAGACTCTATCTAGGCTTTGCTGACTTATCACTAGACACCCTGTGACTTTTATGCATCTGAGTCTTTGCATATTCCCTTCCCTCTGCCTGAAATCCTTCCTTCCCTCCACACAACTAACGCCTCCCAGCCACAAGCATCCCACCGCACGCCACATGCACAGCACCCCTCCTCAAAGATTCCCCTTCCCTAGAGTTTTTCCTGATGCCCACCTCCTAGTTGGTCATCCACCACGGACCACATCATTAGATCTGTTCTCCTACCAAGGTTCACATGTTATTATTTCTGGTCTCTGATCCGCACAGGCGGGAATCTCGTTAGTGAATAAGGAAACATGGAGGTGTGGGATTAGGGAAGGGAGGGGACCACTCTTCACCTGGTGGATGACGCTGGCTCTGTGGTCTGTCGCTGCAGCCGCGTGTGACGCATGATGTGTTCTTTGACCGACATCTGCACCTCAGCCGGAATGTCTGGGGACGTGTGGCTGATCTTCACAGCCGCCTCTAGGAAGCCCAGGGTGTTAGGGTCCTTCAGCTTGTCAGCCATGTTGCCTCTGGAGCGGGGGCTCCGAAGGGCCTCTGGGAGGGCGTTAGCAGAAGAGGGACTAGAGGCCTCCTTGTTCCTCCAGGGCGTCCAGCACAGCTTCCAAAAGAGAAAGAGAAAAACTGCCACCAGGGCCACGCCACACACAATAACTACCACTGCGAGGAGGCTGACAGAGGTGCCTGCCCTCGGCGGGAGCCAGGCAGGGAGGGACGGAGACAGACAGAGGTGGGGAGAAGCAGGGAAGGGTGTTGGAAGAGGGAGCACACAGAAGGGACGAAGACGGAAGAAGAGAAAAGAACGGTCATGAGAAAGCTGCCCAGGCAGAGGGGAGGTGGTTTTAAGGTGACGCTCCACAGTCCACTACAGTAAAACATCGGTAGCCTTGTCTTCCCCTCCGGCTGACTTCTCCAGCGCCGCCCCCTCCTCCCCACTGCCAGCCTGGGAGCACCTGGGCTGCCTCCCCTCCTGCCTATTGGCATGTGCACAGGGAAGGGAAAGTTATTTAAATGGCAGCCTAAGCAAATGTGCAAATTCGCGAAGCATTCGCATTTGGATGCTGTTTAAATTTCTATTAGAGCTGTTACTATGGCCGGACTTATAGCAGAGTCGCTTTTGTGTACAGCTCTCTTCCTCAAGAGGCTGTGAGGCCTTGGGGACCAAAGGCTCTGCTAACTAATCCTCTTCCCTTAACCCACCTCCTCTGAATCCAAATCCTGCTCAATAGTTGAGCTGACTTGAAGTGAATGAGATGGAGCACCAGCTCCTTGAGGGCCAAGATTATGTCTAATGCTTCGTGCATACTCAGAACTCTGCACATAGTAGGCTCAATAAAAGTAGTATTAAGTTGGAATCCAATCCATGCAGTTCATTTCGAAGCTAGATACAAATGATTCCTCTAGCCATCTTTTCCTGTGGCTCTTTGAGAGCTTTGCTGTGAGACCGATTCGTTGAATGTTGTGGTTGGCTCAACATTCACGGGTGGGCGCTCACTGCCCTGGTCCCAGCCCAGCCCAGCCCCCGGCCCCTGGTAGGATGCCCATTTCCCAGGAGAGCTGTGATGATGGCTCCCTTTGGGAGAAAGGATTACGCAGCCCTCCCACCCCACCTTTCGGAATGACTCTGAGCCCACGGGCTCTTCTTTCTCTGAGTAGAGAGGTCAGAACCAATGGCACACCTGGCAGGTGTGCACAAAGGTCCCATGTGGCCAAAGCCAGCCGTGGAATCTTAGATGGTCTGCATGATGATTGGAAAATTGAGAAATTCCACCACCATCATCATCACACCAGATGTGGGTTACTCTGGAAAAGGCCAGATGACTTGGTCGCCGGACTTGTACTCCCGCTGCTGGGCACTGGTGACTCCCTGAAAGGGTGTGTCCTCATCAGCTCTGCTCCCTGTTGCCAGCCTGGCCCCTACGGGTCTGTGAGTTTGCAGTCTCTGGATTGTCCTGTCCCAGTGCCTTAAGAGTCTTAGGATTTAAGACTTAGGAAACGACCCTACAAGTACTGAGGCCAGGCGGCGCTTTTGCAGATGGGCTCAATGGTCCAGAGAAGGGACCGCAGTTCGTACACAGAGCCTGGACCAGGGTCGAGATACCTGCCACCCAGCCCGGGGCTTTTTCCACCGTCCCAGCCTGTTGGTCCCCGATTAAATCGTGGCTATTGTAACCCTGTTTTTTATATTTATCTGACTCCGGGCCCAGCACAGAAACTGGCCATGAGAATGAATGAGTGAATGAACAAATGGCACATAAAAGAGCTGTAATCGTCTCTCGACCAACATTTACTGAGCATTTGCCATGTGCCAGGTAGTAAGTAAGTTCTGCTTGGAGTATAGGGATGCTAGGTCCCTCCTGGAGGGATCCACAGTACTCTCACAGCACACAGTCCCCAAGGACGGCTGTACCCCTCCTCCAGAGGGATCTGAGAAGGAGGCGAAAACATTAGCCACCGTCCCTGAGGAGCAAGCACTTCCTTTGACTCCCTGGCTGTAGGGTATTGACCCTGATCAGCTACCACCTTCATGAATAAGGAGAATCCTCAAGTCCTTGGCTCCCTGCCCCAATCCCCAGACCCCTGCACAGAGACCTGGGAGCCTTCCCCCTCCCTCCCCTGAAGGAGCTGGGGTTAGCCCTTCACCCAGAGATAGCCAGGGACCCGGAAAGCAGATTCTAAATTAACTTCTAGACTAAAGGTCTCCCACGTGGTGTGTGTGCGTCTCGGGGGCACCAGAGAAAAGTATCAGATTGTTTTGATGTTTATTTATTATCTTTAAAATAAGAAATCGAAGTTTTAATATACGTACAGGTTGAGAGTCACAGAAACGATAGCATTTTATTATCAAATTTAGTCAGGTATTGAACCCTACTGTTTCCAAGGTACAGAGTGCTTTTCGTGGTTTCACTCACGTAATAAATAGTGCCCAGGGAAGAGGTCTGGCCATCATCCTCATTCTGCAGAGGAGGGAGCCCAGGCGCAGAGAATTGAATAGATTGCCCAGGGTCACGTGACTAGTAAGTGGTGGGACGGAGCTGCGTCGGGCACTTCAGCTCTTCAGTACCCCCTCTATCAATGTGTAGTGTATGACGTGGGGACAAATAAACATATGCTGGAGGTATTAAATCAGAATGGTTTTCGCTGCTAAGCGTCCATGGTCTAAATGGTTTGGAGACTGCTTCTTTGGGCCCTTATACCCCTGGGGTTCATGAGGAAAGCAACCACAGGCAGATGGGCCCTTATTCTAAGTATCCGGCCCTCTCGACACACTTCGCATCTGCTCTCTGTTACAACTGTTCTGGATGCCTTCTCTGCAGTGAGTCACCTTAAAACAAAAGGTATTTCTAGGGCTTTGCTTTCCTTTGATCATGCATCTTACTTGCTCTGGTAATAATTAGAATTTTAATGAGGAAGGGGGAGAAATGGGGGAATCCGGAGAGCATAGAGTGCATTTAAATGTTCAGCCTAACAAAAAAAAAAAAAAAAGAATTCGTAAATGAAAAGAGAGGTGGGGGAAGGGGGTGGGCTGAGGGAACCAATTTTCCCTCGGTGTGGTTGTGGTTGCTATTTTGAATGCCTTTCCACGTGACCCCTGCTGTTGCTCCCTCGGAGCTGAGATGAGGGGAGACAGAGGTATGGATTATTGGGAATCAGCACCTAGTGCTCAACACTGGCTATGGAAAGATGAGGAGGCCCTTCCTCTGCCTGGAGAACCTTCTTCCAGGATACTTCACAGGCAGGCAGTGATGCTGAGTGGGTTCCCCCCCACAGGGGGTACAAGGCAGGACTGGTAAGAGTAGAATGAGACCAGGGCCAGGGTTGATGGTACAGAAGTTAGCCCCTTTAAAAGCACTATGTGTGGCCTTGAACTCAGCCAACCCGCAGAGCCTGGTCAAAGGTGCATGAAGGCTGAGAAGGGCAGGCTCCTGGATGGCCTACAGGCTGTGCCAAGGCCCAGACCACTGGAGATGCGTGCCTCCCTGCCCTGAGTGCGCTGGGGCCAACCCACCAGGACATGGTGCCCTCTGGTAAATCACAGATACACAGGTAGCCTTTAAAGCCTTTCCCCCTCCCTCATCTCTTGTTTGAACTTCAACCTGATAAGGCAGATCGAATTTTGACCTCAGCCACCTTTTGAACCCTGATCTAGTGTCTTCATGACGAGAGAGAGATAACCAACTGTCCAGCAAGGACAAAAGCCCTTAACCATAGCACTGGAGAAGACCAAGGACTTGCCGAATATTTGTATTCTTCCTCTCTTCTTCCTTCTTTATCTCCCATTCAGCTTGGAGAGAAAGAAGCACAGCCCGGCAGTCAGGCTCAATCAATGTCCGTCCGCACTGGCTCTAACCTGCGACTTTGGCAAGCTACTCAATCTCTCAGCCTCAGTTTCCTCATCTGTAAAATGGGTGTGAAAATAGTATCTACCTCATAGAGTCATTGCGAGGTTTCGGTGAGATCAAAAGTGTATCAGAAGTGCTGAAGACAGTGCCTGGAACGTGGTAGGCAACATAATAAATATTAGCTATTTTTATTAAAAGTACCTAGTTCCACTGAAGTCTAGTTTTAAATATCCCCTGGTTTTGCAATTTGTTTTGTTGGTACAATACCTGTAAGCCATGAATACTAATAAATAGACATAGCTTTAACGTAACCATTACAAACCAGGAACAAATTACTAGCAGAAATAATGTATCATATATGTGATTAGATCTCTCTCTATCTCAAGACATAGTGTGTACTATGTTAAAGATCTCATATTTCTGTCAGCTTTTCTGTCAATTCTCATCGGCTTGCTACTTGTCCAGTTGTTTTATTGTTAGTGTCACCGGCCCGCTGGTGGACAGGAGTGAGCTCCAAAGGACAACGACGGAAGAGAAATCAATGACTGAGAACGTGCTATGCTTTTGCCAAGTTTTCTTGGAAATTGGGGGAAAGAAATCTATTATTGGGTGTGACCATCTCAATATTAGGGAGGAAACATCTTCGTTCAGGTGTCAAAGGAGTCCAGGGTTCCATGGGCACCCGCTTTGAGAAACCATGTTGGCCAATTACCCAGCAGCCTCAGGGAGAGCAACAAGCTACAGAACCAGGCATCGGAAACACATCCAGTGGCCTGGCATTGTGCAGGGGCGCATGGCTCCTAACCCCCGGCGGGGGAAGCGGACCTCACTGGGGCTCAGACACCCGGCGGACGTCTCTGGTGAGCACTAGCACCAGAATAACCACGGAGCACGTCCATCCACGTTCCTAACTGTGTGACCTTGAGCAAATTACTAAACTTCCCCAAACCTTGATTGCTTCTTTTAGTTAATGGGGATTCTAATTAATCCTATTTCACAAAATCACTACGAGTGTTAAATAAACTAAGGCTCTGAGCACAGCGCCTGGGACATAGTGGATGCTCCTGAAATGTACTCTGATATTATTCTTCATGCTTCGCTTATTTGGTGGAGGATAATAGTTTACTGTGTACAGAATGGACCCAAAGCTGGGCCCCCTGAGGCAGGGGAAGGGGACAGCAGACTAGAGGCAGAGCATCTGGGAGACCTCAGATGCTTCTTGTCCTGGGAGGTTAAGATCTTCCTGAGGATCAGCAGGGCAGGACCCGCTTGTCACCTTAAGTGAGACCGTCTGGCAGGGGTGATGGCTCATTGCCTCCCTCTCTCCCTGGAAAATGCTAGGTTATTAATTAGCAACCAGGGCTTTCTTATCTCCTCGACTGACACTTCTTTCTCCAAAGACAGAGCCCTGGTGCCCCCTCCTCTTCTCTTCACCCCTAGTGTTAGGATTTATCAGCAGTTCTTATCACTGGCTATTGTTCCCGTTTTTCTAATGGGCTTCCATGTCAGGAAAATCTATTTTGTAATGGTAACAGGCATTTTCCCTAACGATCGTA